GATTGATGACTGATTCTTCGCACATAATTGACAAATAATAGCCAATCAACCCGACAATATAGTGCACAAATTACATACCATGTACGCAGTAACGTTAGACTATAAATAAGAGATAAATCCTCCATTGTAATCCAAGTTGAATCAAACTAATACAAATATACAAGAGTTATATATTCATTCCATATCATTCTTATTTAGATATCGTTTTTTCGTACCAACATTGTTGATGGGCTAAATCCCATCAAACCGAAAGCAATAGTGACGAGTATATGGTTCTAAATGTTACAAACTACAAATGCAAAAAAAAGATAGTCATGCTAGAGCTTAGGTACCTCATGCAATGTACACCAAAGTTTTGCATTAATATTTTAATGGTTCAATTTGACATAATATACTAGTGAGATAAAAAAAAATGCACCAGCATTTTATGTCTCTGTGAACTATTATTATAGCATCACAATTTGAGTTACAACTTTTAGAGTACAACTTTTGAGGTACATTATTATAGCATCACAATGTAATATACAATTTGAAGTACAACTTTTAGAGTACCCTAAAAAATTTGTGCTGATATAAAATGTAAGCACAACACTGACATAATACAAGTTTGTACTTATATTTAATGTCAGAATAAACCATTGAAATACAAAAATGAGATATAAATAGAATTTTCCGAAAATATATGGTTTGAGAAGATCAAATGTGGAAGAAGCGGTAGAGATGAAAAGATATAACAAAATGAACATATAATTAACCAAGGTTTGTCAAAGACAATTTGTATCAACAAATATACTTATAACATAGTCATGAGTTGTTTTATTTTGATCCTAAAGTTCACATGAAAAATGTGAACCTTCTCATAATTTACATAAAATCATTTTATGTATGACACCATGAGAGTTACTATTGCGACTCTCTCAAATAAACGGTTACATGTTCTAAACCTATTGAACATAGTAATTTTTTGTACTTTAACGAATTGAGAAAATATGTATAAACCAATATGCGTGCATTATAAGAGATCGAGTTACTTCGAACTCCATAAAAGAGTAAACTGAACAGATATAAATATTCAAATTATTTCCAACATAAATTATTGCCATCAACCAACCCTAACATACTACTCCCTCGGTCCCAAAAAAACTCATTTCCTTTACAAGACATCCTTTAAGAAAACTCTTACTTTCAACCACACAATTTCACTTTTTCTAAACTTTGTGTCAAACCTAAATTGGGAAACTTTATTTGTGATGGGACTACTGATAAAATGCTAAAAAAATGTTACCCTTTATTAATCAACTGGTTAACCGACCATAAAAGGTTAACCAATACATAAAAGGTATGAACCACCTCATCATGTCAATTCCGTTTACCCATCCAATACCTCTTGTATGGATTTCTCAGTTTGGTACTTTGGTTCACAGTTCGTATATAATCATCTCAGAAAAATTTTCCATTCTTCAATTTTGGCTTTGGGGTTTCAAACCTTGGGAAGGCACGGGGCCGGGATTGAGTTCTCGAGCACCACCGCACTAAAGTCATTTCATGAACGCATGTTACTTTGCCAAAATGGCCTCGGGATCCCCCCCCTCCCACACCCCGCTGGGGGAAGGGAGGGGGGAACCACCAAACCTACTCCCACCAACTAATCTGAGGGATGCCATGTTAGGAACGCAACCTTTGCCAAACCTTGAATTTTTCTACTAGCATTGAACTAGAACAACAATGAATGATGGGCAAACAAATTCCACCAAAGAATAGGGTAGGGTGGTCAACAAGTAAAATCATATGGCATTCTTTGAAGTGGGACTAGAATAGAGGAGAGCAGTGCTTATGGTTATGATGAAAAAAAGCTAAAACTCTATACAAAGTACCAACACATTTCTTCACCTCAAAAATGAGAGTTGCGAGACACCTCTTGAACTTCTCCAAGTGAGAGCATTGGCCAGCCAAGATGCCGAGGCGAACCGGGAGGGCTCGAATGCTGGCTAGGAGAGAAGAGGCTGAGCTCCACAAAGGCCCCACTGCTGGAAGTATCGCCCTTCCCCATTGTCCGAAATGAAATCGAACATCGCTTACCGGAAGCTTCCGAGTTTCTCCCGGGACTAGTAATACTTCCTCCTGGAACACTTTGGTCAGCAATTAGAGAAACGGTATCATTATGCATAGCGCCAAAATCTCTCTGTACCTTCCTCAGAGCTAAAGAATCAGCTACGGGGAAGTATACCAGCATGCACATGCCCATCACCACACAACATAAAAGGGATAGGAACCCCAAGAAAGTGAGAATTTCAAAGACTGGGCCACCGGGTGTAGACAAAATGGATAAACCGAGAAACAAGACCCTTAATGGTAAGAAACCCGAAACGAAAAGGACTAAAGTGTAAACCCTCTTCTGCAAGCCCTTGTTGATGACAAAATGAAGGATTCTTCTCCCAAGCCAGAACAAATAGCAAGTTAATGTGGTAGTAAAAAGACCGAGGCAGATCGTACTCAGTAGAGGGTAAGTGCAGAAGGCAATATCATCATCATCCTTTGTCTTGGGGAGTGAAGTGGCCATTGTGAAGTACTGAGGCAATTTCCCCTTGTTAAATGTTGGTCCAAGAGAAATGACTATGAGCTGAAAAACAAACACTGGGGCGCAAAAGAGAAGAACGCAAACAGCTGTTTTGCCATTCCATTTCCGATTCAGTGTGACCGACTTCTGTAGGGATGCGCGGAGAAGAAACAAAACAATCAGGAAGATGCATGGTTCTGCTAACCCTAGATTTGAAACGATGTAGCCTTTGCAGACAGTTTCTTGCCATTTCCCGTTGAGAACATTCAACAAACTCCCACCTTCTCTCAGCACACTCAACCGAAGAACCTCTCCAATGCCCCACCAGATTGAGAAGAGAATGAATGTCACTCTTATTATCCAAGGACCACTAAAATAACCAAGTTGAATATGGGCTTGACCACGGATCCGTGAGTGGAAGTAGCACAAGTACAAGGTGCAAAATAAGCCAAGAAGGGCCAAAAGGGATACAAGACAAATTGTTAACACACCTAGTGCATCACCGACTACCTTCAAATGGGGCATTACCCAAAACACTAATTCCACGCATGCTCTCTGTCAGCATGGATGCCAGAAAAAGTCAAGCCAAAAAAGACCATATGATAACTTTTTCGTTCAATATCCTACTTGCATCAATGCTGAGAAAAAGAGAGCCAATGATTGTTCCAGTGTCTTCCCACAACCCAACACACTTATCTTGCAGTCGCCACTAGTAGATTGCAAGATTACAGTTTCAACCAATAGTATTCTCCAACCGTGAATCCCAATAACCTAAAAAGAAAATATATCAAGATTAAACCCACATGTAAGACTAGTTTACATAGTAAACACCTAAAAATTCTGTTGTAGTTTATCTTTGCCAGAGTTTCAGACACAAAGCAATGTCTACAATTGATGCATATGAAGAGACAAAAGCTACCTAATATATTTGTGATGTTCTTCAATGTGAAATACTTTCATGAAATGTCCTTTGTGTGTCTTCTTCATAATAATAGTTGGGGAGTTTGGCCTTATATCAAACAAGCAACAAATATACTTTTTTTAAATAATAAAATAATAATTTGAGAAAAAAAGCAATAGACATCTTCAAAAAGTACACACGAAGGTTTGAATCACTTCAAAAACAGCCCAATTTCTCTCTTTTAGTTTTCCGGTAAGACAGTATGTACTTTATCACCTCAAGTTCTAAACTTAGTAACGAAAAAAGTGGAAAAATAATAAGCTTGATACGCATTTGCATAATTCCCCCAAAACATAGCCAAAAACCGGAAAAACACAAAATGCAAGAGCAGAGTTCCAAATACACACAAAAAAAACGCAAATCGTCGGTCAGAATAACATGGCGTACAATCACAGGCAACAATTCAGCCACATAAACACCGCAGAACCACAGTCGCGTCCGCGAAAAGAAGCAAACAGAACTGGAAAAAAAAGACCAGACGAGAGCTTACGAGTCGGAGAGGGCAGATCCGTGGAACACGACCGCCGTGCCGATGAGTCCGCCGGAGACGAGAGCAAAACCCTATGAGAGAGAAAGGAATTTGCAGAGGGAAAGAGAGAGAGAGGGGGGGAGAAAGGGGGAGGGAGGGGATCAAGTGTGTTACATTGTTGGTGACAGGCTGTCACCAGCGAATATGCGGGAAATTAAAAATGAATTTTTCGAAATTAAAAAAACAATAAAAATACTCTGTAAATACAAAATACGGTATTTGTTGTGCGGTGGGGCCCGGGGGGAGAAATGCCAGGCTGGACACAGCTCAGAGATGATTGCCGCATTCTGCGGGAGCGGAGCGTCCGAGTTCGAGGCACCCCATGCTGGCTGGGTACGGTCCATGGGGACGGTTCCGGTTTCTATATTTGAGGAACCGGAATTGGAATTCTTAGGATTGGTTATTTGGTTCAATTCTGTGGCAAATGGCTATTTCTCGTTATTCACAAAAAACAAATATTACTCCCTCCGTCCCCCTATATTTGTCCATATTTGACTTTTGGAACTGCTCATCTAAGCACTTTGACTCATCAAATTCCCTCAATGTGTAAGCCTAAATATAGTCATGTGTGATCTTGTTTGATTTGTCTTAACATATAGATTATTAATATATACCAGTAATTTTTATAATTTTTTAATATACAAATTACAAGATAAAATGGATTAAAGAAGTGCATTGGATGATGTGTAAAAATGAAAGTGGACAAATACAGGGGGACGAAGGGAGTACTACGTATCTCCGTTCCAATGTATTTGTCCAGTTTGAATTTTTTGAGTCAAATTGGATAAACTTTAAACTCCAATTATTCTTAATTTATATTGCATATTAGCATAATGAAATATAATTTCGAAAGTTCCCGCTATGATAAATCCAATAAAGTCATTTTTATGTTAAAATACATTACAGCTTTTATTTAATTGAAGCTCAAAATTTGTCTTGTTTGACTCGAAAAAGTCAAATTGAACAAATACACTGGAACGTAGGGAGTACAATATGATACTTTCTCTTCGTTACAAACTTGCAATGTTAGAGGTACGTCAAATGTATACCTCACCAACATTCTCACACAACACATTCTTTATCCACTTCTAGAATTTCATGGAGAGGAATTCATAAAACAATATAGTAATCAGTCATATCGTTTTTAGTTTTATAAATCCTTTGATATAGTTTTAAATTGTATAATTTTTACTTTTTAAATTTATACCATTTTTCATATAAAATAACTTTAAAATAATAAAATAATTTCAGTCATACATCGCAACACATAACAAGATTATAATTTTTTAACGGATGAAGTATTTAAACACTACATCAATACTTTTACAAAATAAGAGGAGACACTTTTTTATATTACCATATAATTAATGAAAACATACAAGTGAAGCAGAAAAAGTAAAGATCCTTGATTCTAGACATCCTTAATTGATTTGTCAGATCATTTCGTGTTGGACCGGGAATGCTGCGAAGGTATTTGCTCCTCACTTAGCGAGTCAAAGGTAACATGGATTGATTCGTCACGGTGTCTTCTTCGAACATTTTAATTATATGCCCGGCCTTATATAAATTCGGAGATGTAAATGTGGAGTCTATAAATTCGGGAAGCCTTATAACTTCTATTTTGTTTACTTTGGTCAAATTTTTGGTTTTGTATCAGAGTGTTTTAATGTCTTATTAATGGACCAACCTTGTCCATTTCCTTTCTCATGTTCAATGGGTTAGATGGCTAACAAACCTAGCATATACTCCCTTCGTCCCACAAAAAAGTTCTCATTTTGAATAATATTTAGTCAAACATTTGCACGCTTTGACTACAAATTGTGAGAAAAGTATATTGAATTATTAAATAAATTTAATATAATTAGATTAATCTTAGGATCTAGTTTTGATATCTCAAATTTTTTGTTGACATTTCTTTATTTAGATTATATTTAATTTATGGTCAAAGCGTGTAAATGTTTGACCAATTTACGGTCAAAATGGGAACTTTTTTGTGGGACGGAGGGAGTATAAAATATGTTGGCTGGATCAACAATGAATTTAACCATGGTCAAGTGGCAAACACTTGGTGAAGTTTGGAGAATGACCAAGGATCGAAACCTGGCAGCGACCGTTGTGGAGGCGACCACCTCTGAAAAATGGGGGGAGTCTCTGGTGCGCACTAGGATATGGTCTAGCTAAGTGTTGTGCTTGAGTCACCGTGATTTACCTCCTCTCACATTCCCGTCGAGTCGGGGGTGAGGGGCGCCTGGGGTGAGCGATTTCACCTTTTGGAGAATGGTTGGTAGATGATCAAACTTGGGGCGTGTGACGGTCCTGAAATGGAAAACATGGGCATCATTCACGATATCAGGTTGGATGGAGTCATGACATGACTCATCCAAAGGGGTGAAATTACTTGAGGATTAACTTGAGTAAGAATTTGTTTTCTTCGTCAATTTTTATTGAATCTGATCTAATTTTATTGAAGTATGATTTAATCTGGTTTATTTGTTGCTATATTTAAGGTTATTTATGATATGGTCTATATGATTTTAATAAAAATAATTAAGAACTAATAAGAGTAAGTTGAACAGAACAAACTCTAATTTAGAGGCTAGCATAATTGAAGCGGTGATGTTCTGACAATCCTCCGCAATTGGTATACATGTTTTTTAAGTTGTATTTTAATATTTTGTAAGTGAAAGCTTAGACCAAGTTAAAAATTCAAACAAGGGCAGTGGACGGATAAAAATGATGGCATAAATTAGGAGATCGAAGTTATTATCCTAGCTACGTCGATCTAGAATAGAAAGTTAAATCCTTAAACTAATTATGAAAATAAATACAAATATTGAAGGATCATAGGAGGCAACACTAATAGTTTAATCGTTATCAATATTTCGGGTTGTGAGAGTTTACAATTTACACAAGAGCGTTTGTAGGTAAAAATATAGTGTTAGTATCAGTCATTGTTGACCGATAGAAATTACACAAGATAGATCAAATATATCAGTGATTGTTTTTATTCTACGAGCATCCCTAGTGAAATTTGCACTAAATAGGACTAAAACATAATGAATTTCCCAATGTAGAACTTAAACTTTTTTATTCCCTAAATAGGACTTAATAATGACTTAGTAGGACGAATAATGTCTAGTAATGATGGACATTTACTTGAATAATGACTACTTTATAATGACCAAAGGTTCTACATTGAGAAATGAAAACATATGGTCCTATATTGGGAAAGTCATTATTTTTAGTCCTATTTAAATAAATTTCTCATTTTCATTTCCGTCTGAAATATTGTTTTTTGATACCACATACTCCCTCCGTTTTCAAAAACTCTTCCTCTTTCATTTTTTTTACTTCCAACAAAACACTTCCACTTTCTTTTAAAAAACCACTTTTACCCTTACTTTTTTCATACCCTACCTATCACATCATACTTTTTCTCTAATACTCAATCCATCACATCTTACTTTTACCCATTACATCAAGGGCAAAATTGGAAGTCAACTATAATTTAACACTTCCTTATTTTTACAAAAAGTCAAAATAGGAACACTTTTAAAAAACGGAGTGAGTAATTTTTTTCGTTCATGGTCTCCTTTTTACCCGAAATATTTGACTCATAAAGGATTATTCATACCTTTAAAAAATGAGCAGTGCTCATAAAGGATTATTCATACCCTAGCATTAAAGGTGTACCCCTGCCATTTTTATTAAAAAAATCCAATAATCGGAGCCCAACCCAATCCCGCGGCGGGCTTAGAAAGGACCGCTTTTGAAGTGTGTCGTGAGTTGGCAGTCTTCTTTTCCCTTTTATTTTAAAGGGCAAATTAAGCTTTACTTAATCGTTAAGACTCGTGAAGAAGAAGAAGAAGGAAGACAGGTATTATATATCCACCCTCAGATCTCGGTATGTTTTTTCTCCAATCGTCGTCTCTCTATCACTGTAATTAATTTCTAAGATCTCGATTCATCTTCTCCTTCTCGATCGTTTTTTTGTGGTTCTGTTGATTTTCATTACTGTAACTTTAATTAGTTGCTGGAAGATTGATTGATTAATGGCTACGGGTGCACCGAGCTGGGCAGATCAATGGGGCGAAGAAGACAACCCTGAGAAGAAGATGGAGCAGAAGAAGAAGAAGAAGGAAGCTCCGTTTTCTGCGAAATTCAAAGATCTGATGGCCGATACGACTCAGAAGAGCAAAGATGCGGCTTCAAAGGCCGTCAGGTTTGTCAAGAGCAAATTGCCATCGCCGAATAAGAAGAAGAATTCTACTTGAAGAAGAAGAAGATGAAGAAGATGGGGGGATGATCTGATTCTACTGCTGATATAATAAGATTGATATTGTGTTTGTGTAATTAATTAATTAATTTGCCTCTTCCGTTTGAATTTTGATACTCCATTGTCAATGGTCCTTTCAAGATTATTATCGCTCCCAATTCACTTTTATCGGATGAATTAACCTAGGGTACATGGATAACCCATAATACACCAAACACACAAAATGTCGCACAGACATTTTGTGTCTGTGTGTGTCTGTTGGCTTGGTGTGCATATGGGGTACTCCATGTTGGTGTACTCTTAGCATTGCCTTTATCGGATTCAATTATTATTTACTTTCCCCGTTTCCCATGCTTAAAAAAAGAAAAGAAAATGAGTCCATCATCCTTGAGGCTCCTTCAGACTCGGTCCGACATAATTGAATCTAGATAAATTAGACTTTGATTACAAATTGGTGGAAAAGAATGGAATCTACACATGGTATTTGCAAAGGTTCATGTTTAACATAGTTGTTTCTCAATGTTATGAATCTAACTCGACCCTTATTCCCTTAGAAAAATGCCAGGGTGCCACCGCATGGGTGCTACCATGGGTGCACTCATACTTCACACAGACAAACAAAGACGATAATTGTCTGTGTTGCACAGACAATTATCGTCTGTGTTTATCTGTGTGAAGCATGGGTGCACCCATGGTAGCACCCATGTGGTGACATTCTAGCATGGTCCATTCCCTTAACACTTTTTGCCTTTGCCCATTGTGCAATGTCCAGCGACTTCATTTCCCATTCTATATTAACGATTTAAATTTTTATCATATTTTGAACAATGTGTAAACTATCATCTTTTTTAAAATCGTTTTATTTATAAATTGGTAGAGAAATGAAAAGTATAAGCTACACCGTTCAAAAGTACATCTAAAGTTCTACAAAATAAGATGTAACAAGAATATTTAATTTTATAAAATGGTCACTGAAAACGGGTAAACAAACAAAAGTTATCAATAAAACCGAAATAGTAACCATGACAATTCTTTTGGAATGAAGGATACATTTTTAATGCATTGAGAAATGAATGAACATAGATATAATTTATGTCTACATTCCTTCATTTTGGAATAGCTTATTAGATACCTAATATGGAAGGAAAGGAGTATCTCTCTTAATTTTATTTACCCCTTCAATCAATCTTTAACTGAATAACATCTATACATCTATACATTATTTAAAAAGATATGAATTTTTCCCCGCCCATGCATGACACTCATATATAGAAAGTGTTGACAACATAAATGGTAGTTTAATTATTTTACCTTAATGTTTTCCTTCCATTTTAAGTATGTTTTTATTTTTATTTTTATTTAAATCTTACACCATTTAAGCATTTAAATTATATTAAATAGTAGTGAACCATTGGGGAATTGAGGTATGAAAATAAAATACACTGCCATTTAAATATTAAAATAAAATTTAAAAATTACAAATTAAGAAAGTATGGGCAGGATTAAAATGATTTATTTCAAACAAACTACAAATTAATTATTTATCATTAAAAAATATTATAATTTACAAGCACAAACGCGTAAAAATGATAAGTTTTCTAAAATCACTCTATTCTTAAAAGCAGGGGAATTATTTTCCCGCCCAATGCACTCATCTCCTCCGCCGTCGATATGAAAGAACAAATAAGATCTCCGGTTATGATTGGTTGTGTAATATTACCTATTTAGAATGATAAATTAAAGGAAATTTTGCATGCATAATCACTCTATTCTGATAAAAAAGGAAGGGAGTAATTTGTTTCCTAACCAATTTCGCCTAATTACTTGATTGTGATAAAAAAAAGAAGGAACGGTGCAAGAGATTTTTTATATTTTGTTTCCATTTTAAATAGGTAATTATTTATGCCTAATTATTACTACTATTATTATTATAATTACTCGGGATAATTTATGCCTGATTATTTTATCAAAAAGTAATTATTTATGCCTAATTAAATAGGTAATTATTTACTTAATCACTCTATTCTTAAAAGAAAATACTTTTAAGAATAATAGAATGATAAATTAAAAGAAATTTCGAATGCATAATTACTTAATTTTGGTAAAAAAGGAAGGGACTAATTTTGCAAACAAGATCTACGTTGTTTCCTTTTTAGAATAATTTTGCATGCATAATTAATTAATTACTCTATTCTTATTTA